TCTGGTTTTAAACGGTCTTCAGTTTTTGAACAACAATCTCATGAAAGATTGGGATTTAGCTTCCTCTAGTATTTTCTTGGGCTTGTGACTACTTTGATGGTTGAATACAGTGGAAGTAACACTGTGTATTTTCTTAGTCTGGGTCATAAAAGGTCTATGCAACGTAAGGGAAATTTGAGTGCTAGTGATGATGTCTAATTAATAGGAATTTTTAAAATTCAAGGTAATACTTGGTTTAACTGTCTCTCTGCTTCCATTCCTTCAGTGTCAATCGCACTCATTTATTGAATACTTACTGAATCCACTAATACTGCATCCCTAAGTGGCATGCTGCTAGGTAAAACTGTTGAGAAATGAACCAAAAGAAAAGCCCTGTCCTCAGGGTGTTCATAGCTTGGTGTTTTCAAGGGGGACAAAGGAGTAAACAATCATAATCTGAGGTAGTGAATTCTAAGAGAAAGACCAGGGTGAGAGTGGAAAGAATTGAAATGAGAACAGTGTTTGTAAAACGGGGATGTCGGCAATAATTTCACAGAGGAGGAAGAGTCCCTGGGAGTGAAATTGCCAAGTGAACATGAACATCAGGGAATTAGCCTAAGAGACCACTGTATCCTAGGAGAGGGTTCCCATGGTGGCTTCGAGTGATGACACAGAGTCAAAAGAAGCTGCGGATGTGGAGAAGGACAGAGCATAGACAGAGTTCTTTAAGCTGTCAATAGGAAGGCTGAAAGATGGAGTGAAACAGGGTTAGATTTGTGTTTTAGAAAGGTTACGTGGATGACATTGTAGAAGACAACCAGAATTTACAACTGGAAGCAGGTAGACAAGCCAGAATGCTGGCATCTGAGTCCAGGTGCAGAAACGAGAAGGCCTGGCTGGGCGCAGTGGCTCGCGCCTGTAATTCCAGCACTTTGAGAGGCGGAGGTGGGCAGATCACCTGAGGTAGGAGTTTGAGACCAGCCTGGCCAACATGGTGAAACCCCATCTCTATTAAAAATACAAAAAATTAGCCAGGTATGGTGGTGGGTGCCTGTAATCCCAGATACCTGGTAGGCTGAGGCAGGAGAATCGCTTAAACCTGGGAGGTGGAGGTTGCAGTGAGCCAAGATCATGCTATTGAACTCTAGCCTGGACAACAGGAGTGAAACTCCTTCTCAAAGAAAGAAAGAAAAAGAAAAAAGAAAAGGCCTGCAAGCCTGAAGTAAGAAAATACCAATGAAGATAGAAGGGGCTAGTGAATTCAAGACAGTTGTTTGGACATAGTAACTTACCGTGAAGGGTACAAAAGGAAGGGTATACTCAAATTCCAGGAGGCTAGTATAGACATCTAGGTAAAGGATAAATGCATTAAATGAGATAGAAAACATAAAAGAGAGAATATCTCAAAAGAAATACACTGTTTTATCTGTTTCAAATTCAAAATCTCTGTAAGACATCTAGAGAAATATAGAAGTGGGCAATTTGAAATATAGAGTTTAGGAGATCTTTCTAGGATGGAGAGATTGTTTTGGAGAGGGAGGAGTTCGTCTGCCAAATCTTTTTATTCTCCTCCTATCATTTGTAGTAAAAAGAGAAATAATAGCATATGGGAGTTGGCCAAAAGGAAATGGAATACTAAAATTATGTAAATTATTTTTTCTCTTTACATCATGTGAATAAGGTAATCCATATACAGCATCAGCTAGCATCAAATGCATGATTGAATCTCAGATTCCAGTGCCTCTAGTTGCTTCCAAGATAGAGAATCCTATCTAAGAAAAGCAGAGTTAAATGGAGTTTAAGCTGTATGGTTTTGAACATCTTATGCTCTCTAAATGTATACTGGTATATATTTCTCTATTTTCAGACACATTTTATCTTACTGCTTGCTACTCACATAGTAGTCCAGTGTTGTGTTTTTTTCATTCAGGATGAAAGAATCTAATTTGCAGTCTTCAACTGTACATTTATTGAACTAGTATATTGATTATATTTCTAAGAAGGTAAATTATTTGAAAATTCAAACATTTGTTTAAGATTATTACATAAACAGAAGAATGTAGTTATTAGGGTATATGTGTATATATTTTTGCATATTTAATATAGCTGCTATACAACTAAAGACATAACTAGTAGGTCAAACTTTTTAGAAACAAACTATTTTCTTAGAAATTGTTGTATGTGAAGTAATTAAAGGCTATAAACTTTCAAAATCATGAAATACACCGATAAATATATTTGTACATTGCTTATGATTTAAGTAAAATCCAAAAAGTAGAAAATTCAAAGTGGCACTTTAATAAGAGAGCTTTGAAATAGAATTACTGGAATGTGAAAAAAGACTGTTTCTTTTAGACTGTTTATCTTGTAATTGCAAATTTCAAAGCAGAAGTCTTCAATTCATTTTACTGGTTGAAATGCTTTCCTACTAATTAAGATGACTGGGTGCTGGGTAACCTGATTACCTTTCTGGATTTTACAAAGACCTTAATCAGACATTGTAATTTGTATTTATTTCTGCCACAATTTTCTGCCATTATAGTTTCGAAGGCCCTTTCATGTTGAGCTTGTTTCTAAGTAATTTAAAACTTCTCAAGACAATTCAAAGCATTATTCAGTTAGAGGAATTGGGAACCTAATTTGCCATTCAGTATAAAATCCAAAGATTTCAGTCTTGTAAACTTTAAAGAAAGCATGGCCAGTTTTCTTTTTGTTAATTGAAATTAAAAAGTGCATCTTTCTTTATAGTTATGAATTAGGAAAGCAAGAGGTTGTTCAGTAAGCAAAACGTACATGGAGAAATTCTCAGGGTTGAAGTTTTACACTTATCGTATATCTTTGTTTTAAGAAGAAAAGGAATATTAAATGTTTGTTTATTTTGATAATATACATAAGAACTAAAGTAAAAATATCTGTTACAATTTTTTACATTTTAAAAAATACATGAAACCATATTTTAAGGAAAACCTATGCTACAAATGGCTACCTACTTTTTTATTGTATAAATGTATCTTAATTTATGCAATAATTATTCTTTTATGCAAAGTTTCCTTTATGAAGCTTTTAGGTTTCTGATATTTTGTATTGCAGATAATTCTGTAATTAACCTAATTGTTTGTAAAACTCTCTTCACATTTCAAATTATTTTCTTATGGCAAATCATAAGGAAATTACTGATTCAATGACATAAGCATTTTAAAGCCTCTTAATAAAAATTATAGAATTGCTTTTTAGAAAATTCATACTCTTTACTTGCCCAAGAGTGGTATACAGAGTTTCTGGATGAGAAGGGATTTACTAGACAGAGTTCCTGAGTCCTCATGACTGTGGCGGTGGGGGATGCTGGAGCCCCTTGAGACGCCAGGGTCACCAAAGGCCAGCCGGCTGTATTCCAGGTGCCATGCAACCGCCCTGCCCTTGTGCTCTGAGAAGTGATTTAAATGCCCAGCAGGTGTTGAAAATGGGTTAATGGATAGAGACATAAATGATGTTTAAATATTATGCTCGATAAAACAGTCAGGGAAAAGAATAAACTTCCATCCCTGGAAGGAAATTAAGGAATTATATATGTTTTATTCAGATAAAATTCTGGAACAGTTAATTATGTCCTTACAAACAACAACATTTGAGAGTAAGGAAGAGTTTATTATTTTTACCTTTTTGTCTTTTTAAAAAAGAAGTTAACTGTGTTTTTTGCATATTTTAATGGCCTATTTATCTTTTATTGTTGAAATAGAAGAGATTTATTCTGGACACAAGTCTTCCGACAGATTTATTTATTAAAAATATGTTCTTTTGGTTTATACTTTTCCTTTTTGTGTTTTTAGTGTTTGCTTTGATCATAAGTTTTAAACATCCAAATTATGAAAAGGGATTAATTTGTGTTAGAGCTTTTTGTGTACTTCCAAAGAAATCTTTGATTATTTCCAGAAAGATTGGGAGGCCATTATCCTATGTTTGCTTCCTGAAGATTTATAATTTTAGCTTTTATGTGTAAATACGTGATTCAGCTCAAATTAATTTTTGTGTATTGTATAAGATACATATTCATTCGTAAAAGATGCAGTTATCTATTTTTTTTTTCCAGCACTATTTGTGGAATAAGCTTTCCTTTTCTGTAAAATTGCCTTGGTGCTTTTGCTTGGTACCTAGATTCTATTCTGTTCCATTGATTTGTTTATCTTTATTGCCAATATCACAGTCTTAATTAATTGTACGGGAAGTCTTCAGTCTGGTAATATGAATCACTTTGTTGTTCTAACAGTGTTTTAATTATTCTAGGTCTTTTGGCATTTACATATAAGTTTTAGAATCTGTTATTACCTGTAAAAAATTAGAATTTTAATTGGAATTGAATTTAAGTTGTAGATAATTTTGGGAGAAATTAGAATATTAACAATATGAATGTTCCAATCCACAAACATGAATGTGATATATTTCTCCATTTATTTAGATGTTTAATTTCCATCAACAATGTTTTGTAGCTTCAGTGCAATGTTCAGGTTTTTGCACAACTTTTGTTAAATTTATTTCTAGGTAGTTGATATTTTTATGCTAATTTAAATGGTAACTTAAATTTTACATTTATTGTTAGTATGTAGAAATAACTATATGTGTGGCTATATACATATGCACATATATATATTTGTTTATTGGCTTTGTCTTGTAACTTTGTTAAATTCACTTATTAGATCTAGCACAAGCTGGAGTGGAGTGGTGAGATCTCAGTTCACCACAATCTCCACCTTACAGGTTCAAGCGATTCTCCTGCCTCAGTCTCCCGAGTAGCTGGGACTACAGGCACCTGCTACCATGCCCAGCTAACTTTTTTGTATATTTAGTAGAGATGAGTTTTCACCATGTTGGCCAGGCTGCTCTCGAATTCCTGACCTCAGGTGATCTGCCCGTCTTGGCCTCCAAAAATGCTAAGATTACAGGCATGAGCCACTGCACCTGACCTCCAACTTTCTTAAGTAATAAGAACTAACTCCTTGCTCCCCTTTGACTCTTTTTTTTTATAGGCAGCCCTGCAAGTCGGGGGCCACGGAGAGAGGCTACACCAGTGTCGAGAAGTCATGCTTCTAACTTACAAATCCATCCCCATGCAAGTGGATGGGGAGCCCTGTAGGTTGGCCCCAGCTATGATTCGGATCTCTCTGAGGAATCAGGCCAACATGGTACAGAAGAGCAAGAGGAGAACATCCATGCCTTTACTCAATGAGTGAGTCTGCTCATGGCCTACCTTGCTTAACATGAAGACCTTGGAGAGGAGAGCGCAGAGCATGTGCATGGTCTGGGAACCTCACTGTGTTGGGAAGAGGAGAAACGTCCAGGAGACTCAGCAGTTCCTTGGTTTCTCTCATGGGAACATATAGGTTTTTTTTTTTTCTCCCTGTTTATTGTACAGTTCCACATCCTTTTTTTAGGAGTTATTAGTACGTGAGACAGATGATTCCTCTTCACTGACCACTTGAGAGTGTATTTACTTGGACTAGCAGAAAATCATTGAGAGGGATCCTAGGGTGGTAAAGTGTGTTCAGGTAAATGTGTTTTTGTTTGTTTTGTTTTAGGGAAGCACATAGTTAGCCTGTTCTTGACCCAGGTCGCTTGAAGACTGTGGGTTTCTCCAGTAGCTGGTGGTGGGCAGAGCTGCTGAGTGGTTTGCCTCTCTCCCCATTGCATCTCTTTCTGGCTGCCAGCGAATTGTTCCCTTCCTGATGTTCCCATTTTGGGGTCCTCCATACTCTTGTGCTTCAATTCAGTGTTGGCTCTCTGGGCAGTATCCTATTGTCCAGACTTAGCCTGACCCACTATTTCTACCTCTACACACATGACATCCCTCCTGAAGTTTTCCTTTCTCGGGCATGTTAATAAACTGACTTGAGGTAAGGTAATATTGACTAGATATTAAGAATACATATTCATTTTATAGTGTGTCTCACTCCAACTAGTGAATAAGTGTTTGGGGTTGGAGAAGGGGCTGGAGAGTGAAGGGAATTTTTGGCATCTTTTGAGTATTTCCTGTATATCATGCTGTATGGCTAAGGCCATTTCAGGGCTTAGCCTTTCGTCATTCTCTGTCACAGTGAGGGACTCTCAAAGGTGCTCCTCCTGTTTGTGGCCTGTAATGCATGGTTACCTATTTGCACTGAGTGGCTGGCTTCCTTGTGGTGCCTGAAAAGCAAGGGCATGCTTTGCCATACATTTATTGAGTCAATATAACAGTATGCAGATGTCCCTAGAACAGCCAGCAACACAGGTACCCTCACTCACTACCAACAGTTACTTCTCTCTCTCTGTGGCGACACATGTTGAGGAACAGCATTAGATAATGCTCTCAGAGTGCTCCAGCTTTCGGCATCTGGGACTCAGTTTGGAGCTGGGGTGAAAGATTCTGTCTGTCTTTTCTCTCCCTCCTTCGCTCCCTCCCTCTCTCCTTCCCTCCCCCTTTTCCTCCCTCTCTCTTTTCCTCCCTCTCTCTCTTCCTCCCTCTCTCTCTTCCTCCCTCTCTTCCTCCTCCTTCCCCCCTCCCCCTTCCCTCCTTCCTTCCTTCCTCCCTTTCCCCCTTCTCGCCTGTCCCCCTTCCTCCTCCCTCCCTCCCTCCCTCCCTTCCTCCCTTTCTCCCTTTCTTCCTTCCTTCCTTTCCAGACTGGACTTCCGCAGAATTTTTCCTAGATCATTTTCAAGATCTAGGAAAGTGATCTTTTAGTTATGTCTTTCTTTGTTTACATTTTGCATTTAGTAAAACTCCTTGCTCATTCCTCATGCTGCCTGCCCTCCCTGCCTTTACCTTCTCTTAGGTTAAATACACAATTGCTGAGTTTATCTATTAAAAAACATTGGATGTCAGTAGTTGTATATAGGTCATCAAATTCCCCCTAGAAATGTTAGAGTTAAGCCATGGACCATTGGTTTGCTAGAAATCTATGAAATTCGAAGTGAAAAACCATCTCTGAAACTGTGCTATAGCCTATGTTGTTGGGTCACTTGTAGTTAGTTTGTTAAGAAGATATGCAGAAGCTAAAAGTTTTGACTGTATACATAGGCAGAGAGCCCACAGTCTTAGTTAGGCCTGCTGCTTCTGTATTTAATAACCTTATTCCACATGAAATGATTTTCAGGTATTTAAACAGCTTTTACCTTTGTGTTGAGAATTGGTATTTGCTCAGTAACCATATTGTTAAGAATTCATTTGGCTTTCTTCACCTATAGAAGCACATAAGAAGAATTGTTTTTTATTTATATTCCTGGCACACATGTTATATGATGGCATTTCTTGTAGCATTTAGCTGTGCAGGTGTTCAAGAAGCAGCCTCAACTTAAAAATACTGTTACTGGCCGGGTGCGGTGGCTCACATCTGCCATCCCAGCACTTTGGGAGGCCAAGATGGGCAGACCGCTTGAGATTAGGAGTTTAAGACCAGCCTGGTGAACATAGCAAAACCCCTTCTCTACTATAAATACAAAAAATTAGCCAGGTGTGGTGGCATGCACCTATAATCCCAGCTACTCAGGAGGCCGAGGCATGAGAATCTCTTGGACCCACAAGGCAGAGGTTGCAGGGAGCCAAGATCTCACCACTGCACTCCAGTCTGGGCAACAGTGTGAGACAAACAACAACAACAACAACAAAAGACCCAAAAATTGTTACTTACTTTCTACCAGGGGACAGTGGTACCTGCATCCAAGCCACCCCATGCCCTCTGAAAGACTTATGAGAAATGGGGGTAATAGTATAATTTTTATTTTATTAATTAAAATTATAAGACTTAAAAATAACACAAATCTTTATTACTACTTGTGAAAAATTATTCAGTACTATATTTTCAGAAAATCAGTACGGTAGCACGTTTTCAAAAGAACGCAAAAAACCCAGTCACCATGTAATATTTGCTCACTAAACCTTAATTGCTCTCATCCTGATCTTATTTACTTTCTACGATTAAATATTTCTTTCTATTTTACCAGAAAACCTTGTTTTGAAATCTGTGTCTTCCACTAGATTTCCAAGTGGAGTTTCAAGCTCAAGGTCAGCCTTTCCTTTAAGGCTTGTCTATAAGTTTCCCTCAACCTTCTGAGCCCTTCAAGCCATTCTCTGCTTTGGCCATCAATTGTGTGAAGGGCACTGTTTTATCCAATGAAAAAAGAGAAACTTGAAAGACATTTCCCTTATTTCCTGCCTTCCTTTTTTTGCCTGTCTTCTTTTTTCTTTACTCGAGGAGAACTAGTCAAAAGTATCTTTAGAATTTTTAGTTTAAAAATCATCTGTGTGTGTGTGTGTGTGTGTGTGTGTCTGTGTCTGCACATGTGTGTGTATGTTTGCGTGGGTGTGTGTGTATGTTTGCATGTGTGTATGTGTGTGTGTTCCTAATGAGAAGGTGGCTGTTTAATTCATCTTTAAAAATTAGGCTCCTTTCATACAGCATGTTAACTGAATATTGGAGACTTCAGTGCTGTGTCTGCCTTAACAGCTATTCCCTTTCCGTTTAGATGCCAGTGCTCCTGGTGCTTCTGCCCTTTCTCTGCGAGACTGTATCTCTGATCTGTGTCTTCGGCCAGTCTTTTCTTCTAAAAACTGGAGACTCATATCCAAATATGTTAGTTGAGATTTTTACTTCAGTGTTTCATAGTAACCTCAAACTGCATGCTAGAAACTTGACTCATTAACGTCATTTCCTTTGCTTTTCCACCCCACCATCCAGTGAGCCCATTCTGTTCACAGCTGTACACATGAAGCTATCATCACTCATTCATCCTGTTGCTGGCTTCTGGGGTTCTCTCAGTCACCTCTACTTCTACACATCTGTGTTAGTCCATTTTTGCATTGCTGTGAAGAAATACCTGAGGCTGGGTAATTTATTTATTTATATTTGTTTGTTTGTTGAGACAGAATCTCGCACTTTGCCCAGGCTGGAGTGCCATGGTGTCATTTCGGCTCTCTGCAAACTCCGCCTCCTGGGTTCAAGTGGTTCTCCTGCCTCAGCTTCACGAGTAGCTTAGATTACAGGTATGCGCCACCATGGCCAGCTACTTTTTGGTAGAGGCAGGGTTTCACCATGTTGCCCTTGCTGGTCTCAAAGTCCTGGGCTCAAGTGATCTGCCTGCCTCAGCCTTCCAAAATGCTGGGATTACAGGTGTGAGTCACTGCCCAGCCAAGGATTGGTAATTTATAAAGAAAAGAGTTTTATTTGGTTCACAGTTCTATAGGCTGTACAACCATGGGACAAGCATCTGCTTGGCTTCTGGTGAGGCTTCAGGAAGTTTACAGTCATGGCAGAAGGTGAATGGAGAGCTGGCATATCACATGGCGAGAGAGAGAGAGAGCAAGGGCAGGGGGAAGGCACCATACTCATTTAAACAACTGGTTCTCACATGAACTCAGAGTGAGAGTTCCCTCGTTACCTCAAGAAGGGCACCAGGTGTTCATGAGGGATCTGCCCCTATGAGCCAAACACTTCTGACCAGGCCCCACATACAACATCAGGGATTACATTTCAACATGAGATTTGGATGGGACACACATCCAAACCACATCAACATCCGTCAGGCTAGCTACCACATTCTTTGAACTCTATTTTCTATTTATTTCCCAAGTCTTGAACTCTCATCCCCTCCATCCTCTCTACTGGTAAAGTGGCCAGAGTTCAAAGGTTGTATGAGTTACCTCTCAGCAGCATTACTAAATTATGCTTCTGACTGTTTTCTTGTTCCCACCCTTGCTGCCTTCACATAATCTCTTTTCTGATAGACCAGTTAGATTGATCAAATAATCTCAAGCCTGTATGCCTTAGCTTTGCAGACCTTTTTGATCACTGCCTTCTTCATTCTCATTGCTTTTTGTTCCAGAGAAGATTGCGATTCCTAGAACAGTAGCCTGTCTCCTATATCACCCTGGTTTTGCTCTCAGGTCGTCTTCTTTCAGTGGCCTCTGCACCTCTTTATCTTCTGCTAACTCTCGCTCACAGCTTAGGGCCCTAATGAAATGCTACTTATCCCAAGAAGCCTTTTCTGTATACTTCTAGCTGTCACATGTACCTTTACATGCTTCAGTGGTGCTCTTGGCTATTTCCATTACACCACTTACTAAAAATAGTGTAATCATTTACTTACTCCTACCTTCTCTGCTCTGTGGGGGGCCCCCAGGATTTTCCTCTTAGGATCCTCAGTGTCCGTCATAGCTCCTGAGACACAGGAGACACATGTGAATGTTGCATCAGCGACTCACACATGAATCCATTCTATAATGCTGTCTCTGCCATGTTGCTCAGAAATTGCTTTCTAATATAACATAAATCTAAAATTTCATGAATATAAAAATAATATCCCATGTGTTTTGATCACATTGTCTTATAAGTGAAAGATACATATTTAATAATTTCAAGCTATGGTCCACATGGATAGAAGGAATTTCCGTGAGAAATAGTTAACCAGTAGGCCTTCATAATGCCACTAGATCTTCATTTATGCAAAAGGAAAAAATAATGTTTTCTAAAAAACATTTCTTGGTGTATAATCCCATTCGCAGTTACTCTATACAAACTAAAAAGCCAGGTCCCACTGTGTTCAGAATCCCCTCATTTGTATGGGAGCATATGTCATTTTATCATGGCATAGGAATCTACACAAAGTATGAACTCCAGTAAATACCTTCCCCTTAAAAAGTAATAAGGAGATTTATCTAGGTTCATATTCGTATACCAGTAACATGATAGCTAATACACTGGATTATATTCTTTATTTGAAAGGTGCCATTGAAGGAGATCAGAAAGTTAAAACTGCTCTGGTGTTTAGAGAGGTCTTCAATGAACTATCAATAGATAGATAATGTTATCCTTAGTTCACTAGTAATTAGGCCTACATTGTTAAAGATGATCATTTTATCCAATGGCCAGATTTCTAGTCAGCAAACTTTGAGCCGAGCAATTGGAATCCATCATCATAGGCTGCTGAGAAGTATCATTGGTTGGAAATGATAGTCCTTAGAAGATAAGACAGACAGAGACGGGCTGGAGTTAACTCATGGGTGACTTTGTGTAAGAAGTTATGTATCCTGCAGCACAGAGAGATTGGGGGGGTGGGGCTAGGTCTATTACAGTTATAATGAAACTTTTTAAATAAGAGAGTGGAGAGAATAATTACGTAAAATCAACAGAACATTTTGAGTTTAGTTTCTTAAATTATACATTTTGTCTTTTGTAATAGCTAGAAAAGACAAACTCCATTATGAAAGAGACTCCTTTATAAAAGAAGGGAGAAAAGGGAGTAATCTATGGTATTATTTTTTTCTACCCAGAATGTGAGTGTAATGACAGCATTACGGTGATAAAATTAGACTTTCTTTAGAAATTACCTTTGGAATTTCTAAAAATCCTTTGTTGTTTAATTGAAGGAAGTTGAAGTTTTTGTTGAGACACTCTCTTTAAGATGATTGTCTTTTGATGAGTATTCCTATAAAGCCTGGGGAATCCTGAAGCTGTGTGATGAAAGGGTTAAATTGACCTTGAATCTTTACAAAGATGAGTTTACCATGCCAGCCTACCACTCAATATGTAAGTGCGTGCCTTCTCTCCTTGGGTGTCCTAATGGGCCTGAGCAAGGGAGGCCATGGTCATCACCCCTGATGCCCCCAACCTGCCCCCTGCATCAACCCCAGCCTGGCCCTGCTCCAGTCTGTGACTTGCCTAGAACCAGCACCTTCCATGTGTCCTGTTGGCTTCATTGCTATCACCGGCTTTTTATGGATTATTTCTGTGGCTGGCTTGGTTTTCCTTTTCCTTTCCTTCGCTGTTTGGTGATGCGCTCATTTAATTTCTGTTTAAATTTTGTGTGTCTCTCTTTCTCTCCCCTGGCTTGTTCCTTGTCTGTCCACGCTGTCGCTGACTCTGTCTTCGCTGCTCATTCCCTGCTGCCTCTAGTATTCATCAGGTGCAAACTGCGGACCTGCGGCGAGTGTCTGCTCCCCCTGGCTCCTTCACCATGTGAGTACAGTGCCGTTCTGTTTCTACATTTTCTCCCCAACCTCGTCTCCTCAGGGTTGGACTACCCTTGCCTTCACAGGTCTGTTCCTCAGATAAGGAAGCCACCTTACCAGAGTTGCTTCCTGTTGCCCTCTTTGATTTGAAATGGAGCTGTGATGTTTGTTATGTTCTATGTGCTTCCATCCTCTATCTAAGTTAACAGTGCAATTTTTAGATGAGATTCTTTAGATGAGACACTTTAATTTTTAGATGAGATACAACCATGGGCCCATGGTTGCCTGGGGTTGTGTAGAATTTCATACTAACCATTGGTTTTCATGCAAAGTGCAGGATACCATTAGACCATGTCGTTACTTATGGCTCAGAGATGAGCTCCAGGAAGTGCCTGCAGCCCTCAATTTCTGGATGGAACCTTAAGATTATGCATGAAGTTTTGAGTGTGTGTATGTGCATATTTCTGCTTCAGAAGATATAGTTACAACAGTTCAATGACCCCAAACTGTCATTGAGACAGCAAAATGTGTTTTTATGTATATTTAGGAGTTTTCGCTTAATGTAGTCCAGGGTATTTTTTTTTATAGTGAAAATGAAAATTACGTTTTTAGCATTTCAGCTCAGAATTATTTTGTGCTGTCGACTCTGCTTTGTCCTTTGTTTTTTCCATATCACATATGCTTGTCTAGCATTTATTAGGTGTCAGGGACTGTTAGAAATGCTTTACATATTAATTAATTTATTCTCCCAACAACCCTTGGCCATATGTGGTATAATTATCTCCGTTCTATGCATGAGGAATCTGATAGACAGAGAGGTTAAGTAACTTGCCCAAGGTCACACAGTTAATAAATCATGGAGTGGGATTCAAACTCAGGCAGTCTGGCTTCAGAGTTCATGTTCTTAACAATTTATAGTCTGCTGCCTTTCGTCTATCGGGATCCTGTATATTTCTCAAGGCCCACTTAAACGATTATCTTTCCGAAGAATTCTTCTTTGATTCTTGCCATCAGAGTTAATTGCACCCTCACTGGAGTTTATCATTCATGTATCTATTGCAGTTCTCAAGGTTTAATTTGGTGTTAATTACATTAACTCTGTGTCTGTGTATTTTGCACACTAGGCTTGGGCTATTTGAGATCATTGGCAATATCTTTGTATAAATCTTGTGTTCCCAGCTCTCTTCACAGATTCTAACATGAAGTATTCTGAAGTCAAACTGTGGTTGATTGGCTTTCTTTCTGGAATGAATGCGTAAAAGAATACATGTCTAAATAGCATTGTACAATAGCTAACATCTGGTGAGATGTATGACAAAGCTATTCCTAAAGTTCAGTTATATAATCTTACTTTCAACTCTCATCTTATGGATACTAATTTATTTATTCATTAAAATATGTATTTATTCAAAAACCTTTATTTTGCTCTTGTTCTGCGTCAGGCACTATTTTATGCTGTGTGTCTGACGCTACCTTCCTGGAGCTTACACTTGAGCAGTCAAAGAATCAATAAGAAAATGACATTCAATTACCAATTTGAACATTGTGGAATTCTATATTCTATATAGACAAGTTCAATACATTTGGGTTCCAGTAATCATTATTTTTAGTGGCTCCATTCATCGTAACCAAAAAATTGAGAATGTTAACAGCAGAAAGGCCTGTAATAATTATCTTGTTTCTTTCATGGGTTAAGTTTTGGTTGTATTTACACTTTAGTCATATATCTTAAATTGGACTGTTTATCTCTTATTTCACAAATGTGTGTGCTGCGTACAGTAAAGTAAATCGGTATGCGTGCTTCTGTAGGGCGTGGCAGGCACTAAGTTGTGGTTACTTTAAAACTTGAATGTTAATTTGAAAATATTTTATATCTAAATATGATATATATTCAATATTACATGGCATAGATTTTCTACCTATAGATAAAACATTTGTATGATAAACATTAAATCAGGATATTATTTTAAAAATCAGATAATAACTTTGGGAGGCTGAGGCGGGTGGATCACGAGGTCAAGAGATCGAGACCATCCTGGTCAACACGGTGAAACCCCGTCTCTACTAAAACTACAAAAAATTAGCTGGGCATGGTGGCGCGTGCCTGTAATCCCAGCTACTCAGGAGGCTGAGGCAGGAGAATTGCCTGAACCCAGGAGGTGGAGGTTGCGGTGAGCCAAGATCGCGCCATTGCACTCCACCCTGGGTAACAAGAGCGAAACTCCATCTCAAAAAAAAAAAAAAATCAGATAATAAAACTTTATGAAATATAGCAAGGAATGTAGAGAAAAGTTCAAGTACATCATGTGCATTTTGTGTTTTTTATGTTATGGCAGTGATGACAGCCTTGATTTATCTCACGCTAGTGTCTGCTAATTTTAGCAATGTTGAAAAAACCATGGTAACATTGCTTTGGTCCTGTGAAAGTTAGAAGCCCCAGTATCGTGAAGTGAAATAATCTATACATGTTTTGGGGAGGGGGTTGCTATCTGATCAGCCATTCTCTGCACAGAACAACTCTTTTTTTACAGATGATTTTTTTTCTTTGGGAGAACCCTCTCTTTATGCTGCTCTTGAAGCAATTGTTGCTTCCTTGAAGCAGCTTGAAGTAATCTTTATTTTCTCTCTAGCTTTCAGATGACTTTTTCTCCAGGGATGGAGTACATGGTGGTAACAATGAAATGCATGATTTGTTAGGAATTGCAACATACTACTAATGTTTGTGCATATGCAAAATTTCTGGTTTATTCAAAGAAAAATGAAATTTTATGTTTTGATCATATATGACAACATATGAATTGATGAATTTTAATCAATATTATTTAGTGGTCTCATCCAATACGACAAAACAGAACAGATAGAATATTTCTCCACAAATCTTGTACAGGGTAACTTAATGAATTAATAAATTCTTTATAATTGAGTGGCTTCATAATGAAGTAAAGTCCTCATTGGAAGTCACATGTACGCACTACATTTCATAAATCATGAATAGTCATGCTAGATGCTGCAAATGCAACTCCTATTCAGCTAATGCCAAAAGTATGAAATTGCCGAATGTGTCTTTCTAGAACTCTCTTAGCCTTTAGTAGCTACCTCTTATTAGGTTCTGTTGCCCTCCTGCTCTTCCCCATCAAAATGAGATAATGTGTTTCATTTACACCTAATTTATTCATTGCTTTCATCTTTCAACAAACATTATTGAGTGTTTACTTCAGTTACTAGATACTCTGTGGGATATTGGAGATGCAGAGACGAGGAAACTAAGGTTTCTGCCCTGGAGAAATGAACACACCAGGAACAGACCCAGTTGTGTTGCCTATGACACAATTATAGTGCAATGTGACAAGCATCCAAGTAAAGATTCTGGTTGTCCATCCATATGAATGATTTTGTATTGAACGTTTGTTATATTAGCTTTTATTTTTAATATTTAAAGTTAACAGACTGCAGACTTGACTTTTCTGGTGTACAGTTTCACAAAGTTTAAGACATATAAAGATTCATATAACCACCACCATAGTCAGGATATAGATCAGTCTGTCACCCCCCAAAAAACTGCCTCATGATGTATCCCATTGTAGTCACACCCTCCCATCTCCCAGCCTCTAGCAACCACTGATCATTAGAGTTTTGTATTTTCAGGAATGCCATATAAATGGAAGTATACAATATGTAGCCCATTGTAGCTGGCTTCTTTGACTGAACAGTACATCTCTGAGGTTTATCCAAGTCGTTGCATATGTCAATTATTTGTTCCTTTTTATTGCCGAGCTGTTTTTTATTGTATGGATGTTTTAGCTTGTTTACCCACTCCCCCATTGAAGGATATCTGGGTTATTCTTCCAGTTTGGGGCGATTATGAGTAGAGTTCCTATAAACATTGATGAACAGGTTTTATGTCAACATAGGTTTCCTGTCTCTAGGTTAAACACCTAGGAATGAGATTGCTGGGTCATATGGTAAGTGTATGTTCACCTTCATGAGAAACTGACAAGCTGTTATTCCGAGTGGTTGCACCGTTTTACATTTCTATGTATGACCATTCCAGTTGCTCCATATCCCTGTCAGCACTTACGGTTAGCATTTTTGAATATTAATTATTGTAATAGGAGTAGAGTGGTATCACATCCATAGTTTTAATTTGCATTTCCCAAATGGCTAATGTTGAGCATCTTTTTATGTGCTTATTTGCCACCCAGTGTATAATCTTTAGGGAAGCGTATGTCCAAGTCTTTTAATCATTTTTTAATTGTTTTCTTTCTGTAAGTTTTGAGAATTCATCATGTATTCTGGATCCAAGACCTTTGTGTGCTTTGCAGGCATTGTTTCCTCGTATGTATCCTGTCTTTTCATTCTCTTGATGATATCTTTTGTAGAGTAAAACCTTTTGACAGAATCCAGATGATCATTTTTTTTTCCTTATAGAGCTGTGGTTTTGGTATCATGTTAAAGTACTCTTTGCCTAATTCTAGATTGTGAATATTTTCTCCTTTGCTTTCCCCAAAAGTTTTAAAGGTTTTCTGTTTTACATTTAGTTCTGTGATCTGTTGTAAGTTTTTTTCTATAAGATGTACTGTTTAGCTTGAGGGTTAATGTTTTCACACATGAATGTCCAGTGCTTTCAGCACCATTTGTGAAAAGATTATCCTTTTCTGTTGAATTGCTTTTACAACTCTATCAAAAATCAATGGGATATACATAAGGTTATCCCTTAGTAGCCATAGGGGATTCTTTTTAGAGTGCGTTTGTGGATACCAAAATTCTTAGATGCTCAAGTCCCTCATATGGTAGTTGCATATAACTTATGTATATACTCTCATGTATTTTAAATCATCTCTAGATTACTTATCCAATACAGTACAAATGCTATGTAAATAGTTGTTATACTGTATTATTTGGAGAACTATGACAAGATAAATAGTCTGTACATGTTCAGTATGGACAAAGCCATCCTTCTTTTTTTAAATATTTTCAATCTGTGGTTGGTGGAATCTGCAGATGCAG